ATAAGGACAAAGCCACTCTTACCCATAAAGAGACATAGAAGGAACAAATGAAGCAATTGATTTAAAGAAAACTTTTTTTTTTTTCCTTTCATCTTGTCTAGGAATAGAAATTATTGTGCTGAGGGCTGAGAGATTAAATTGTGTCACTCGTCAGGAAACTGGCAAGCAGCCATCTTTTTTGCCTGCTACTACATGCTGCCTTTGTGCTATGGATGGGTTTAATAAATGCACTGTTGTGTAAAATGTCATTGCTGCATCGCCAAATGGAGACTGTCATGTGATAGTTCTTCCTCACGATGACAGATCAATATTGGTCCTCAGCAATCCAGGGACTTGAAGCCACACAAAGGGCATTTTTATGGTTCAGAAACAAAAGTAGAAATAAAAATCACTCCTCAAAGCATGGAGATATATCTATTTTACTCTGGAAGAAAACCTAATGTTCTTTCCAAAACGTTCTTACTTTAAAGATAGGTAATGTTATCAAATTTTAATGACTACTTCCAAAAGAAAAAATACAAATAAATTGTAACATTTTTGAAAAGTCCAATCTTATTATTAACTGTCAAAGAAATGCAAAGTAAAGCAAGGAAATACACCATTGTTTACCTTGGTAAACAGCCCCAAATTATATATGTGTAAGTGCATGAGATTCTGAGAGCATATCATAAAATAAGCCTTCTCCAACATTCCTGGTAGAAGTAAAATTTAGTACAATCTCTCTGGAAAGAAAGTTAGCAGTATGTATCAAAACTCTTTAAGGTGTTCTTACCTTTTGTTCCTAAAATTTGACTACCAGAAATGTATTCTAAGGAAATTATGAAAATCAGGGTCAACAATGTCTTCTAAAAGATTGCCAGTTACTTAAAATGCTAAGAAACTGAAAATAAACTCTTAACAATGTAAGTGGTAAATATATTATTAAACAACAAAACACTTGTAGAGGATTTAAAAAATTATCTAGGGAAAGGTATATTTAATAAGGTTATGAGAAGTTAAGTTAATGCTAAATGTATAGAGCATGATCTAAACAGAATTTCAAAAAATATCAACAAAAGCCTAGAAATAAATGCACAAAACATGTTAATAGTGATTGACTGAGTAGTGTAAAAATAACTGTGTTGTATTTTAATTTTTGTCTACTCTTCTGCATTTTATCCATATCATATCCATATCATATCCCCAAACACATATACACAATAAGTTATATTTAAAAAGAGGTTGCATAGGGAAAAGGTCACTGTCCAGAGAAATTAATCTAAACCATTATGTATTTTCTTGTACTGCTCTTAATTTAGCCCTCATTCCCCATTTTCTCTATAGTTCTGGCTCTTTCTCTCACTCTAGCTTAGACTCATATCACCAGCCATCAGATTAAACAGACTGCTGCTCTCTCTCCCCTCGGGGTAGTGATTTCCCCCCGGCCATACCTTGCTTTTCATTGTGCTTTTTGCCTCTTGCCTCCAGGTGCGTGAAGGGCCTGGGACAACCCGTGAGGCCTGCTCAGTGTTTCTGAGGTTTAGAGTGTGGTCCCCCGGCAGAGGCCTGCAATGGACCCAGCCAGGAGGGAGTTTCTGAGTCCGAATTCCACAGTGTTCATATTCATTTTCTATAGTTGAGTGATAAACTACCACCAATTTTAAAGTTCTAAACAACATACATTTTTTATCTCAGAGTTGTAGTGGGTCCGGGGTCCAAGCACAGCTTAGCGGAGTTCTTCAGTCTGGGTCCCACAAGACTGCAAACAGGGTGTCAAGGTTTGCTTTGTTTGTTTGCTTGGTTTTTCAGCTTCCTTTCAGGAGCATGGGGTCCTTTTCCAAGCTCAGGTGGCTATTGCCAGAATTTAGCTGTATCACTGCAATCTTCCATATCTCACTAGCCATAGGAGGGAACCACTCTCAGCCCCCAGAAGCTGCCTTCAGGTACCCGCCACAGGGCCTCCTCCGTAGAGCCTTCCCCAACATGGAAGTTTGCTCTGTCCGGGCCAGCAGGACAATCTCTTGGGTTTTAAAGTACTCACTGGATTAGGTCAGGCTGACACAATACAATCTGTCTTCTGATTAACTCCAAATCAACGGATTAGGGACCTGAATTACATTTGTGAAATCGCTTCTTGCCGTATAAAGCAATATTATCAGGAAAGCGATAGCTCGTCATACTCACAGGGGCTTCCCACACTCAAGGGGAAGAGACCATGAAGAGTGTGGTCACTGGGAATTATTTTAGAATTCTACCCCCAGGGTCCCTTCCTGGCTGTCACAGACTTGTGGCTCAAGTTCCGCATGCTCTTACATGGCTGGCTTGGCAGAATGAGCTGTGGGGAGGGCTTGGAATTCTATATAGTTCTTTCAGGCTTACCATTTCATTTAGTCCAGGCCATAGCTTCTTCAGATCTATGCTCCTATCACCAATTTAACCAGTGAGGGAACTGGAGCACAGAGAGCTTAAAAAGAGTCCCCAGGCCACACAGCTAGAAATCCGGGTCCTCTAACTGCAAAGAATATGTTCTTTCTCTTACATCTCTCATCTGGGGCAACTCCTGAGACCTGAGCTCACTCTGGAGCCTAATCTCATCAGGAAGAGAACTGCCTCTCAGTTCATCTGTGTCTTAAGCCTGCACAGTCACTTTATATATGACGGACCTCATGCAGGAAGGCTTTTTACAATGAACTTGGAATTCCTAGAATGAGGTGTGTCTAGGGTTCTATTGCTCCTTAGAAAATTACCACCAATTTAGCAGCTTAAAATAACACCCATTTATTAGCTCACTGTTTTCATAGGTCAGAAGTCTGGTCCAGTGTGGCTGGAATCTCTGCTTAGGTTCTTAGAGGCTAAAATCCAGATGTTAGCTGAGCAACAGTCTTCTCTATCTGGAGGCTTCGGTCTTCTAAGCTCATGTGGTCGTGGTAGGACTCAGTTCCTACTATCTACCTCATTGGATGTTGTATCTAGAAGACTGTATGTGTTTATGTACATCTCTATTTCTATCTGTTTTAACACAATGTCCCATAGGTGTAAAAAGGTCAATAAGTTTTTGGCCTCCTGGGTGACTCAGTTGGTTAAGTGGCTGCCTTCGGCTCAGGTCATGATCTCAGGGTCCTGGGATCAAGCCCCGAATTGGGCTCCCTGCTCAGCAGAGAGCCTGCTTTTCCCTCTCCCTCTGCCTGCCACTCTGCCTAATTGTGCTCTCTCTCTGTCAAATAAATAAATAAAATCTTAAAAAGAAAAAAAGCTCAGTAAGTTTTAGCTAGCATTATGATTATTCTCTTTCCAACTACTGAATGATGCTTCTAGCAGAACTTCCTTTGACCTCCACAGGCATGAGACCGCCACCTAGATTTGCAAGCAAACAATGGCAGTATGGCTGCTTTTCATTCCTAACTGTAGGCCAAGTATGTTTAACATAAAGGCTATTCTATCCCAAATGTGGACCCAGAATTTGGCTAAGAGAGGGAAGTTCCCCTGCTTCTAGGCAGAGCGGTGTGAGCTATGGAGATCCATTGTGGACCATCGATTTCAGAGCTGTCTTCCAACAACTCTGTTTCTAAATTTTGAAAATGGTGCTTCTCCAGGTTCAATATTAGCAAACCCAGTCCCCACTATGACTCAAGAATTACACAGTATCTGTTTCAAATTGTTCACTCTTGTAGCACGGATATTTCCTCACTCAGAAATTAATCTCATCAATTCAGTTTGAAAATTCTATTGTAGAAAAGCAGGGGTTTCCTGTGGGAGTGTCTCTCCTGTTTTTCATGTTGATGGGAGATGCAAAAAAATCTGGAAAAAAAAAAAAATCTGGGCTTCTCTTGCACAAGCTGTCCTAAGGAATCACTGCATCAGAAGAGTAGCTAGGGAACAAAAGTGTCCTTGACTGCTTTGTAAGAAAGACAATAGGCTAGTTTATTTATGTTTAATGGAAAAAAAAAAGAAAAACCAGACTGAGGAAAGCTACAAAGCTTACATGTGTGATATTTAATTCACAGTCCCCACTGTGGCTCCATGCAAGTTAGTTAGTGTTACCTAGAAGACTCTGCTTGTGCAACCCTCTCTCCTCTTACTCATTAACTTACTCTCCTTCTTCATCTCCATTAATTAATTAATTACTTCAAAAACTCATTCACTCAACCAGAATTTACTGATTCGCTTCTCTATATAACTCCGTGGCCTGAGGGGATTCACAGTATAGTGGAAGGCCTAAAGAACACTGGGACATGCTTTTCTCCCCAGGGAAATCTCTTCTAATTGTTCCAATCTCCTATGCCTTGTAGTGGGTGCTTTGATCTCTGAGACAATTTTATATTATTTACTAATTGTCCCATGTGTGTAACCCTTAGTTCCCCCAAACAATCTTCAGTTCTTTCAAGAGTGGGGGCCCTGGATTTAGCAGCTACGACTCTATGCTGAGCTCGCATGTGGTCCTCATCCACGTCAAGTTGATTTCTCTCCTTGTTGGGATAACTTGGTCCTTTCTCCCTCCATGTTCTTGTTCAGATTTATGGGGTTCATGAAAACTTAATTATTTTTTAAGACGCAGAATAGAATCTTCCTGTGGAATAGTTTTTAGACTGTTCAAACTCCTGGAGAAAGCCCTTATGAATGGTCGCTGAGTCTATGAATATCCACAGTATGTATACCATTGCCTTATTTGCTAATTCTACTTACAGTATAGTGTTTTTTTGATACATTTTATCATTTGCTCACCAGCTCTGGGTATCCTTCCTTCCAACCAGAATGAAGGCCACATGGAACAAAAATTTATCTGCGTACCTTCCTTACAGAGCCAGGTGAACATGGTGCCCATCAACAAACACAAATTAAATACTAGTTGAATTTTAGTTAAGTAAGAAGAAATCTCTGAAGTCATTACAGAAAGCTTGCTTTGACAGCCATTTCTTTCAAGTACAGAGCTTTGTAAAATTATTATTCTCCGAAGGTATAAACATGTCTCATTGACGTGGCAGATTTACCTTCCAAATAATTCGAACGTTTCAGAGCTTTACCTGAGTCTGCCATCCTCTGCAGCAGCACCACCCGGTATAATCTTCGTAATAAATATGCCAGGGTCATCTCCAATGTGGGGATTATCTGTCCCTCCAGCAATACTGAATCCCAGGCCAGAATTCCCCTGGAGAAACAATAAGTAGACATTAAATGATATGGCTGTCACCTAAACCTAGTTCCTCTTGCACTCCGTGTTATCATCTTACTACTGAAATGGAAATCAGGTGATAACAGTCTTCCATGCAAAGCTATAAAGTGCACTGTCAGTAGACAAAGGAAGGTCAGGAAAAACACTCAAGTTTGTCTCTGCATTGCAAGAATTGAAGAGGCCTTACATTTTTGCTTATTCAAAGGGCCTTAAATTTTTGCTTTTAAGAAAAGTTTCTTTTATACAGCAATTAAAATGATCATTACAACGTAGGAAATAAAGCTTATAAATTGTGTTATATACAAAAATACAAAAACATTAGTGTCAATTGTAAAAATTATACTTAGGTAGGAAAAAGAAATGGAAGGAAACCAGTTGCATGAAAATTGATTTGGTAGAGTAGTGAAATTTGGCTGTTTTAATTTTATTTCCAGTACTGTTATGCATCAAATAAATGTGTTCCTATATAACGATAAGCTTTGGCTTCAGAAGGCAGGTCTCCCTTCTAGAGTTATAATAAATGTGAGATATTTTTCAGGAATAAGCAGATTTTAATTTGCAATAGATATTGACAAGGAAAGTATTACTACTGCAGCATGTAAATTTGATAGTTTATATTTTAAAAAAGCTTTCATACTGACTCATGCAGATTACAGTAATTGATATCCAATGTACATACAACCTTCTGAAATCTGTATATAAGACATAATTAAACGTCTTCCCCAAATTCACAAGCCATCTTATTTATTATTTACATATTTTTCTTTAATTTATATCTCCCCAACTACATTATGTTTCCATATTATGTTCTGATGTTTCTTCTAAATCACATTTTATTTAAGCCATATCCATACACCTAGGTAGTGTTTATAATTATCCATTTAAAAAGACTAAATAATATTTCATCAAGGTCATATCCTATTATTTATTTAACCAGTCCTCTATCACTGGATATTTAATTTCACTACAACCAAGATAGCTTACTAAATTTACAACTACTTGATTAATTCCTGTTCTTGGATAAAAAGAAATGAAGACTAAGAATTTAGTAGCTAATCCAGAAAAATTAATTAAGACACTGTCAGAAAAGTTCAGTGTCAAGATAAGATCAGCTATAACTTGACAGTTCTATCACTACAAATGTATGGTAACGTTTAGCAATTTTTATTGACTGAATAATAAAAATTCCAGAAGGCTGATTTCACAATTGTACATTTATGTTGAAAAGTTGAAATTAATAATTCAACCATAACAACTAAAATCCCATGCCTTTATACTTCTGACATTTCTCTAATTCTGTTTTTCTTTGAAAAAATGCAATGTTCACTGAACAGAGATATTACTCAGTAGCAGTCATGCAATCATAAACTTATTTAATATTTGTTACACACCAGCACTGTGCCTGGCACTGGACTACGTTCTGGGAAATACAGCAGGGAATATGTCAGTTGATGAGGCACAAGAAGAGAAAGTACAGAGTGTAGGAGTGGCCGGCGGAGAAAGGAAGCATAGGGACTTTTCCAGAAGGTGAAAAGCAGTTAGTTACTCTTAAGAGGGTCAGGATGGGAATGGGGAGGCAGACAGAACATTCCAGTCAAAGGAAGAACACATGTAAAATCTCTGAGGTGAGAAAGGGTATGCCAGGTCCAAGACACAGATAGGAAGGCTTGAATTAAGAAAGCAAAATGAACTGGATGAGATAAATATTAACCATGAGTTCAAGAGAACCTATCCTTGGCTTTAAGTATCTACTGACACCAGATGACTCTATCGGTATGGCTGAGTAGCTACTAAGGGTGAGGCTACAGGGAACAAGACCAGATGATTTCTCCCTTCACGGAATCCAAGGAAGAGCAGAAAAGGCGGTGATATCGGGCATCTGGTAATCAATACATTTTCACTGTAACATCAACTACATTGTCAGGACAGCATTAAGGTGACTTACAAGGCAGTTTCTCTACGATCTAGGGGTTCTGGAAGGAAAGAATGGGAAGATGAGTATCCTCTTTATAATTTGGGTCTAGTTCCATGAACATCAATTGGAGTATACTGGTCTTACTAGAGTTGGCCCCTTGGATAATCATTTCCTGCGTAAGGGGGTAGGGAAAGAGGCAAGCACAGTCTGGGAAGCCTTCTCCTGACAATATCAATATTTTTGGAGAGGGCACTCAAAACTTTCCCATTTGTGAAACATATTCACTCTCTAGCTCTTACCCTTATCCTCTTCATTTCTAGTTTTGCACTTTTACCCTCAGGAGTACTCAGCTGAGCTGCTGACTCTTTCCTGCACAGCTGACACCATGACTTGTCTCTTGGCCTTTGCTCATGCTGCTTTCTCTACCAGAAACTTTCTACCACTCCTTTGCCTGGCCCACTTCTACCTACTATCCAAGATAAAGCTCAGAAGTCAGGTGCTACAGAAAATATTAAAAGATCACAACTCCATTTTTCTGGGTAATTCAGTCCTCTCTTAAGTCTTTAAAGATTTCTGTGTTTATCTATGCCATGCACTGTACTATTTTGACTTTATGTATTTCTGAGTCCGTCTTTCCTTTAAAGTAAGGAAACTGTGTAGTATTCATCTTTGTTCTTGGTACTTTCTCTGGCACACAGTACTGTTCAGTAAATTAACTGATGAATGAATGAACAAACAAACCTACTGAGAATATTCAAGGTCTAAAGGGAAGACACAGAAAAGACACAGTAAAAGACCACAATGTGTTCAGAAATATAATATACAAGTAGAAGCCATTTTGCTCAGTGTTCTGCAAGAATAAAAATGGAAAGCTCAGGTATTCGAATTGTGGCTTAGCTGAAGGATGAATGATGAGACAAAACTGTCCAAACCAGGGGGATAGGCCGGTCTGGAAGGGAAGGAAGACCGTTCACTCATAGAGCAGCTGCTTAGTTGCTGGACATGAGGGACCTGAGCATTTCCGGGGAGGTTAAATTGCACAACTTCAAAGGATTCTTCTGGATCTTTGGCTAGATTTGTACGAAACCTATTGTTGCAAACAAAGAAAAAGGGATGTGTAGCAGTAGAAGTAGATCACCATTGCATTTTTAAAGCTTATCCTGTGAATCAACAGATCTTTGAAGTGATAGTTTTGATGACAATCTAGCAAATAGTACTGTTTTTAGAATTGACCCTGATAAGGAGATCTGGTGGCCTTTGGATCCTAATACACATTCTCCTACCCTCAAATCTACTCTGAGGAAAAAGAAAGAATGGATCAGGAAATCCATAATGAACAGTGGTAGGTAGAGGCAGAGTGTAACTGGACCTGTGTTTCCAGTCTCAAGGATTTCCAAAAGCAAATTTTGTGTTTCATTTAAAACCAGCTGGGCCTGACTACTGGGTATTTACCCCAAATATACAGATGTAGTGAAAAGAAGAGCCATCTGTACCCCTATGTTTATAGCAGCAATGGCCACGGTCGTCAAACTGTGGAAAGAACCAAGATGCCCTTCAACGGACGAATGGATAAGGAAGATTGTGGTCCATTTACACTATGGAGTTTTATGCCTCCATCAGAAAGGATGAACACCCAACTTTTGTAGCAACATGGACGGGACTGGAAGAGATTATGCTGAGTGAAATAAGTCAAGCAGAGAGAGTCAATTATCATATGGCTTCACTTATTTGTGGAGCATAACAAATAACATGGAGGACAAGGGGAATTAGAGAGGAGAAGGGAGTTGAGGGAAATTGGAAGGGGAGGTGAACCATGAGAGACTATGGACTCTGAAAAACAATCTGAGGGTTTTGAAGGGGTGGGGGGTGGGAGGTTGGGGGAACCAGGTGGTGGGTATTGGAGAGGGCACGGATTGCATGGAGCACTGGGTGTGGTGCAAAAACAATGAATACTGTTATGCTGAAAATAAATTTAAAAATTAAAAAAAAAAACAAAACCCAGCTGGGCCTGGCCGGTCACCATGATTCTTTAGAGGATGTCCATGTGACTTTAGCTAAGGATGTTATTTAGTGTTTTCCTATCTCTCCTTATTGTTCTCTCCCAGCCGTCCCTTTCAGGCCTTTGCTACCAGCCAGCAGCATTCACTGGAGAGAGGGACAGAGATAACAAGCAACAGTGAAATTACTGCCTGCTGTTCTCCACGGCTGAGTCACTCCAGTCCCCTGACAATCATCGCGGAGCCAGCCAGCTGCAGGGCCAGACCCCAGAACCTCTCAGTTCCAAGCGGCGATCTCTCCATGTGAACAGGCAGACCCCTGGCTGACACCCTTAGATCCTGAGAATTGTGGCTAATTAACCGAGTGTTGATACTTGACCCAGTCAATGGCAACTGTGAGGTGCCACGCGTGTGAGGGCAGTCCCTGTACAGGGCTCTGGGTAGCTGCCGTTCCCCTGAAGCTGGGTACATTCCATGATTGATGAATGTGGCTGGCATGAACCATTCTTTCTCCTGGTTCCTAATCCTCCACATTTGCTGATTCCCTCCCAAAAGCACAAGTCTGCTGCCCAGTCAAATGGCACTTTCTCTTTCCTGGACTATATTCCATCTCTTCTCAGAAAAAGAATCAACTGAAAGCAAAGACACTTTACTGATGGTTGCAAATATAAATATAATATTCTGAGAAAAGTTCCTCTTTCATTCAAAGTGTTTCTCTAAAGGAAAATTACCCCCAGGGCTCAGTGGGTTAAAGCCTCTGCCTTCAGCTCAGGTCATGATCCCAGCATCCTGGGATCAATCCCACATCAGGCTCTCTGCTCAGCAGGGAGCCTGCTTCCCCTCCTCTCTCTCTGCCTGTCTCTCTGCCTACTTGTGATCTCTGTCAAATAAATAAATAAAATCTTAAAAATCTTAAAAGAAGAAAAGAAAATTACCCCCAAAATTGGGTTATAAAAGAAGACAAAATATCATAACCATAAGCATGTATAGAATTTAAAAAAAAAGATTTTATTTATTTATTTGGGAGAGATAGCTTGAGCTGGGGGAGGGGCAGAGGGTGAGGA